TGTGTGTGTGTGTGTGTGTGTAAAATATAAAAAGTGATGATATACCTTCTGGAGTATTTGGCCTCTCATACTTGTATCGATGCCGTGAACATTGATTCATCCGTTTTTGTAATTCTTCCTTTGACAGTGACAAATTCTGATAATACTAAAAATGAAATAACATGAATTCTTTTTTCTATAAAAAAATATTATTTTTTGTATATATTTTATTATATGTAACTATACAGTGTTATTAATATATTGCATATTACTTTTCTGCATTCCCAACAATCCAAGCCATTTAACTTTGCTCTATCAGTTTTACATTGCATGTTAAACTGCTCTAAAACATCTGCCTTTCTTTTTCCTAATCTATAAATATATATATAAATATAAATATTTTTTAGATATGTAAAAATAACTTACATTATCACAATTATTAAGTAATATTTACACATTAAACTTATCCAATAATATCTTTTTTTCAGGTGGCTTGTTTTCCGTATCATCCAAATATAAATTGTCTATGTCATTTTCATTTTCAGCTGAAGGTAAATAAAAGGTTTCATCTTCGCAGGAAAAGTTATTTGTATTTTCCAGATTTTGTACTTCATTTTTTATTAATAACTGATCTTTTTTTCGAGTTTCAATAGATGTGTTAATTTGAATATTGGTCTCGTTATGCATTTTTACTGGTGAAAGATAATCTATGTTAACTTTATTTTTTAATGTACTAACTGCAGTATTCGTCAAGAATTTATCTGCATCTTTCATTTGTACAGAAGTATGTTGAGGCGAAGGACATAATCCAAAATCTATATCTACTACTCCTGGAACAGCACTAGGATCAGGAATATTATCAGAACATTTATTTTTACTTGGAGAAATTTGTATCGTATATTTTTTAGGAATTTTCCTCTTGAATTTTAAACATCGTTTGACTTTAGACGTAACATTTCTCTGTGTAGGACTGATTTCTATCACATCTTCAGAAATTTCATTAATGTTGTTTGTAGAAAGACAACTTTCTTCAGTAATAGTTGTATTTGCAACAGCATTCGCTACAGAAATTTTTTCAATAAAATTTTGTTCTACACTATGTAATATACTAGCTGGCTTATTATGTTTATCTACACATATGGGCAATGTTTTCATTTCCTTACTCTTGACTCTTGGAAAAAATGCAAGTCGAGATTGCTTCAATCTTTTTCCATCTGGCAAAATTGTGGTTTCTACATGGTGTGTTGTACTAATTTCTAATTTGTGGTTATTCTTTGAAGAAACTTTTCCGATGCTATTATGCATCTTTATATCTGAGGATTCTGAGGTTGAGTTATTGTATATTGTTTCAGATGAACGCTGCACGAATTTCTTTGCAGGATTGCCACCAGTCCTTAGAAATGTTTTAGAGAATACTGGACTTTCTGGCCGATTATCTTGGTGCGAAAATTCATTTGCATCTAACGGACTAGTTCCCGTCGCCGTATCGAAATTAAAATGAATAGAACTTGTATTTAATGTATCTAACTCCAATAATGAGATATTACTACTTTCTTGCACGTTATTCAATTGTTCAGATGTTGCTTCAGTTTTTGTTTTTCTACAAAGTGTAACAATCCATCTCATTCACATTTATCGTATATGGCAAAATATTAAAATTTATGTGTCAAAAGCTATGTTAGTTAAATAAGTCTTATGATCTAAATTATATAAATAAATAAATATTTGTAAACTCACTTATTATATTGTCCACATTTTTCCTGCAATTTTGTATAATCTTCCCATAAATCTGTAAAACAAAAAAAATGATATCAATTTTTATACATGTTTAAATTGGCGCACTTTCCAATGCTTTATCTAGCTAGTAAATTTTATCAACGGATTAAGTGTGGTCCACATGACGCTTCGCTTCAAAGCATGTAATTGACCAATCAAAAAATGCTTCGAAGCATTTGTGGACAGTCACTCGAATATTTAATAGCAGCATTTATAAAGCCTTGTGTCTGTCCACGATAATATTAGAAAATCGGTCCAAGTTCTCTTATTCGTTAAGATAGCTCAACGCTGATTGGATTACAACATTTACAACTAGATCGCAACGTTTACAATGGTGCGATGCAACTAATATAAAACCATCTCAACAGAACGCACGTTAATTCAAATAATTGACTACAGATAGCAGCATAAATCAAATATCTCTTCGCGCTTTTTATGCTTAGTATCTACAATTATTTCTAGAGGGCAGAAGTTTCTATATAAAAGTTTTCTGAAGTATATTTAAAGATTTAACTTCAAATTTGTTAAATTCTATATCAAACGTACAGTAATTCGTATAGAACGACGTAAAAATTAAATATTATAATTATTTTACAAATATTTTTTAGCATTCTTGTAATATTTAATTAATAGAAAAAGAAATTAGGTATGAACATATACAGCTAATCCAGAATAATTATATATATATATATCTATATATACTTACTTTGATAATGTTCAAATGCTTTTTGCAAAATTCCAGCGTAGCTCTCCATTGCTTTTCTCGCAGTTTCATTGTGCGTCAAACAGTTAAACTGTAAAATTATTGACATGATTTTTGGAGTACACTTGGCGGATCGTTTCGGAGCAACACAGCTTTTCTGCTTCTTCTGTTAAATGTTCTGCTTAAATAATCGTAAGTGCGTAAATATACGATCTATCTTCACAATTTATCTTCACTAGTCGGCTATATAAACTTAAACATTTATCTACATGTGCATATGATCGTCTGTCAACGTTTCGACACACTCCGCCATAACAGTTTAACATCCGGCAGTGCCGATTCGGCAATAGCATACGTCATACGTATGTGTGTACATACATATATACATATAAGAACAGGCTCAGGACCGTCTGTCGTGGACACCCTTGGAAAAGTACAATCTCGGATAATTTTCAAATTTTACAGAAAAAAAAGTAAAAGTATGTCCAGCAGCCATAAAAGTGTTCATATTATAGCTTTGTATTTGTACACATATATTTTGCATATGCTGAAGCGTATAAATACATAGACGTGTTTCGATTTAATGCCTTGAAAGATTTTTCTGTCGACATCTTTATTATATATTCTTAGCATATATATATATATACATTTTGCACTGTAAATACGTTCGTAATAAATAAGCACTAGTATCTTATATAAAAAATCTTAAACGATAAATAAATATTCACATTTTAGTGTTACTGTTGTTACACAACTTGATCAACGTTCCCTCATAGCATTGCTTTTCTCTTGAAAATGAAATTTTATTGTGAGATTAAAAATAAAACGCAAATCCTTTTTAAAGAACTCGCATCAAGTATCGTGGACAAAAATCTTTCTTTTTTTTTCATCAAAATGGAAACAAGCATCGGAGTTTGAGCTCCTTTTTTTAGATTCAGCTTCCTACACTCGTAATATGTAATGTATATATATGTATATATGTATAATATATATGTATATACACATGTGTATCACAGACTTTCGTAATGATGCAGGAAAGAAATAGATAATTCTTTTTAGCGTACGTATGACTGATCGAAAAATAACTTGGAAATAATCATATATATCCATTAGTAGTAATTTGGTGTATTATGAGATAATTATAATAGCATTGTCATTGAGAGAGAAGTTGTATTCTAATTAAGTATCTGATCGCATATTATACAATTATACACTAAACGTGCACTTAGAACTAATGGAGTGATGATAATGGACACTATAAACAAATCGATGATATGATTGTACCATCTTTTTTTCTCTCTCTCTCACACACACACACACACACATACATACATACATATATATATACGCACACGCGCTCTCTCTCTCACTATCATAATTTGAAAAATAGCGATTTATAAATTTTTTCTAATTTCACACTCACACACATACACATACACGGTGTCACGTTCCGCATGACTTTGTAAAATCATTAAGAACTAAAAGTGGATTGTTGCGAGGAAGTCGAGGGCAGGAAAAGATTCTGCGCCAAGTTGGGCTGCCCGAGCGGTTTACTTGACGGTAATCGACCGATAGCGGACGCAGAAGTAGCAGGATAGGTGTTATCCAGACCATGATACGATATGAGCGCCAACAGAGCGTTCCGAACACCAGCAGTAGCCAGCTGAGACCATCGCCCGTGAGAGCTCACGGCATCATCGCCGGCATACACCGCGTGTGCGTCGAAATTACCTGACATATGCGGCGCATTTGTATCTGCAAGAAAAGTTATACGTCAATAGCAATATAAAGATATATAATGCAAGGGCCAGAAAAAGAAGTGCAATACCTAAAAGAGGTGGGTTCAATATAGGAAGATGAGGATCCAGCTGTCCACCTGGTCGAGCGTTTGCGACGAGACGAAGCTCCGCGCGTAGATCAGCCAACAATTGACCCACCTTGGAATCACACTGTAAATATTATATAGATGTTAAGAACTAGGAGAAATTTTATTATATGTTCTGGAAACAAATTTTTTTAATACAAATACAAATATAAAAATTAAATATTTCAGTTAATGTGTAAATGAAGCAAAAAGTCATAATTGTTGTGAAATTATCATTACGTATCGTTACATAATGGAAAATTATCTGAAGAATCTTTTACATAATTACCTCATTCTGGTCTGAGCGCAACGAGAGAAGATCGTCGACTCGAATTGGTTTTCCCTGATTCAAGGCGTTCGTGAGAATCATCAGTCTTCGGGCAAGATTATCCTCGGTACACATTTCCAATGGTTGATTATCTCCCTTTAGATTCGACTGTGATTTAATGGGCGGCGAAGTATTAAAATAGTATGATGGCGTAGACACTATGTACGGTCCGCTCTGATTAAACAGATTATCTTCACCGTAATGAACTTCCGCGCCAAGTCTGCTCGGATGTGAATTATAGCCTGCTTCCATCTTTAGTCGTTTAGAGGACCTGTAACAAGAGTTACAGATCATGCATGAAGATACACTAAGTATACGACCTAAAGATAAACGAATATACACAGTGAATGAATAATATTAATTCACTTGCAACTTATATCAATAATACGATTTATAATTGAGTGATGAAAAATTTATTACAATATTTTTTAATTTTCAATCATAAAATGTATATAACTTTAACAACAAAAAAATTTATCAACTAATCAATTAATTTTTCATCATTAATAAGATATTGTTGCGTTATATTTAATAACCTTGTAATATATAAAAAAAATAATGGGAGATCATGCAACTAGCAAGCCATACAAACATACTTAAAGGCCAATTACACATACACTAAAATTACATATATGATATAAACATGCACACACACACACACACATATATATATATATATATATATATATGTATATATATGTATTGGAAAAGACAATTGCAAAATTTTATTTACTGCCTATTTATGTAACAATTTTGTAAAACAAGGAAGAATAGCAAAGTATTTTCTCTTCATTGTGAGTTAATGCACCGCTGTATATACATAGATCTTATATAAAACAATATTGTAGAGCGGTTATTATCACTATATACTTCGATTATCACTTGGTTAGCAAAGCTCAAGCGAATGGGTGGTTATATGATTCACATACTTGGTAAAATATGAGTTAATAAAATTGGACACTCCGGACGCAAACACGTATTAAGATTTGAAGCTTTCATTACCTATTATATATTCTTACAAGTGCTACAAAAATTGTCCATCTAATATTCAGCCACAATTATATTATCTCCTGAAACATAATTTTTTTCCTATTAGACATTAGGCCAATTTTTCTATAATTTTTTATCCGAAGTTACATGTATGTCATTTCTACGTATTTCTACATATTCCACAATATAAATTATGATATAATCATACTAACGTCATGTCTATGAAATAATAATTATATATATATAAACGACTTAAATATATACTTTTCTATATACATGTATAATATACATGTATAAGAAATTTTACATATATATTTATATAAATTTATGTAATTTAAATATATGTATATATATTTAAATTACATAAATTTATATAAATTATTATACTTTGAATTCTTACATAAAATTTTACTACATAATTATAAGGCATTATCTTGTATAATGTTCACAATTGATAATTATATACAAATAATAAAAGATAAATAAAAATATTTTTATATTTAAATATATTTTTTTATTTTAAACATATTCATATAAACAGAGTTAAACAAATTTTTGAAAAATGATTTAAATTAGTATTTAAATGAAAAAAATGAGAATTTTATCAATATTGAACATTATAGCTCGACTAATGTACCAATTAATATTCAAGACATATTTTCGTATCATAAGCATAATTTTATTAATTACGTATTATTAATGCATCAAATAAATCGTAGAAAAAAATATATTTTTTATAATTTGTCAATCAAATTTCACTTATTATAGATGCTTGAATAAAAGTTGTATGTAACGACATGCGACATGCCTTGAAACATTATATTTTCCAAAGTATTTTACATATTATTTATAAATGTATATACTATATATACGAATATTATTTATCTTTATCTGTATTCCTTACATTGTACATTATTTGTACAAAATATTTTGTAATATAAAAAATCAAATATCCTTAATTTTTGAAATACATGATCTATTCTTAGAATATAAATTTACAATATGAAAATTGTCTCGTTATATTGTAATCTACTGACGTTGATTATTGAAGACATTGTAAACATGAAGACCATAACTCTTTATTGTTTTTCACATATTTTTTTCAACTCTCATTTTTCTATATCTCTCACTTTTCTATATCTTTTTCTTTGAAAAACACGAGGAAAAATTTACGTTAATTTATTTTTAATATTTGTAATATCATTACGTGTGTGTGTGTGTGTGTGTGTGTGTACAGCGGGGGAAGAGAAGGGAGGGAGAGGGAAGGGAGGGAGAAAGAAAGAGATACATAAATGCTTAGTGTGTGTATGTATATACGAGACAATTTTACTGTTTGATATAAAGAAATTCGAGAGTAATTTTTATTTTTATGCAAAAAAATGCATATATATATATATATATATATATATATATATATATATATATGAGAATGTGCAATATATATGCATATGTTTAATAGTATATCACAAATACATATAAATTATACAATCCATTTAATTTTTTAAAATTTATTGGAAGATTTAATTTATTACTACTATTAAATATAATAAACATTTTAATATTTATTCTATGCCATTCTCATATTTATACTATTGTACTCGGTTTACTACCAAAACATGATTCAAATATTTATGTATATTAAAGAAATGAAACATTCGATTTACCTGCCTTTATTTCTAAAAATAAATAACGAAAAAAAGTTATATATGTCAAAATATTTGTGGAATAAGTAGAAACAGTAACATATATTTTATGATTATTTTACATATATGAATCAGTGAACGCTGGTAAATTTCAACGATAATTGTCGAGTGCTGCTTTTTGACTTTTTTGAAGAGATACTAGTATCTGTATATAATGTAAGCATAAAAATAAAAAAGATATTAGAAAATCTAAAATATTTAAATAATAAAATGTTTTGATAGTTTTTTAAAGATTCATTCATCACTGCTCATAAAGACATTTCAAATAAATGTCTCTGCGTATGCTTAAGTATATTGCAGCATTCGAATATTATTTTACATTGTAATGAGATATTACATTAAGAAATATCTGGAGGCTAAATTTTACTACGTATAATGTCAATTGAAGTAACGCACATGCAAAAAAAAAACAAATAGTGTAAATACGAAATAAATACGCAAAAATTCGCCATTCATATATTATGAGAAACTCATAATTATCTAGTAAAAATCACTAATAATACAGTGGCTAGAAGATGATAAAAGTATACATGTACGTCGAAAATGTGAATGTTTGAACAAATCAGATTAATTATAAATAAAATTAACAAAATCAAGGTTAATAACTTCATGGATTTTTTAGTCTTGATCTTCTCATATTCGCCTCTTCGGTCTTTCGATGCAGCATATCCTTTGTACCTGATGTATCTTACCTATATATTTACATTATTATAATAGAGCCTCCAGAGCTCAGACATCATTTATTTGTACAGGTTGTCGTTTTACGCTTTACCTACAGGTCTGAACTGAAGTCTTTTTACGAAAAATCACGTTGACGTGATCTCTATATTTATTTACAATCGTTACTTCTTTCAACTATAACTTTTTCACTTATATGTTTGAATATAAATACAAACATATATTTATATAGATATTTTATAAATCAATTTCTATAAAAGAATCTAAATCAAATCATGGACAAAAATTATACACAAATATTCTTCATTTTGACATATTGGTGAGTGCATGCATTATGTATACATGTACATTTCCTTTTCATATATTATTGAGTACGAGATACGTACACATATTTTCAGTTTCTAAATAGAAACTGAATAAACCGATGATTTAATTTTTACAATCGTCCTTAACAAATGGTAGACTGAATCACAGTGATTAATAGGACGTATACCTTTTTTTTGCAGATAGTAGTTTGTACGTTATAAGTATAGCGATTAGGCATTCATATAGAAGGATTATAATAATATAGTTATAATTATTATTTCATTCTAATCCTTATAAATGGTTCGATATGGACAGTGAAACAATAGTTAACCCTTTAGCTGCAAATGTTGTATATATTTTACACATAATTTAAATATCATATAATTGAAATGAAAAACTTTGTAATAAAGAAATTATTTATATAGAAAAAACTATTTATTCTATTATTTATTTGTTTTTTATATTAAATCAATTAATATGAAAATAATAAAATTGAGCTGTATTGTACTTTTCTATTTGTTTCTAATTAATAAAAAATGTTCACGTGGTGCAGCCAAAGAGTTAAGTAATATAACATATTTCATTATGTAAAATATTATCGCCATAACATTGTTGTGTATGCCCTGAAAAATACATATATTTAAATATATTTCATATAAATATATTTAATATATTTCTATTAAATATATTTTTTTTTATTAAATCAATCGTTTAAGAGTAAACAATTTCTGTAGAGCGAAGCCACGAACAGAGAAGGATGTTTCGTGCTTCTATTTTCCATTGTTCTGCGCTATTGCCATCGTCGTGTTCGAACGACTGTGAACGAAACTAAAATTAACTCGTTGATTCATTAGGTTGGAAGGAAGAAAGGTCGGCATGCAAACGAGAAGGAGCACAGAGAAATACCACTACACATCTTTTTTTTCACTGTTACTTCTCACTTTCAAGAAATTCGTTACTTGAATAATGCATTTTGCTAAAGAAAATAAATGCCAAGCACAACTGTCGTACACAGCCTTCTACGTGTATAAGCAAATTAGTTCTCTTGATTGGCATTGAGACGTACGTCTCGAGTCTCAGCAGCTCGTAAATTAAATTTCTTTACGGCTTTACTCACCCCCCGACATCTGACAGATCATCCTTGTTGGGACCTCCTTTATTCGGAAAGGGAAGTAGAGGAGGCAACTTTGCTGCAGCGCTCTCTTGCTGTTCCCGTAATAAGCGTTTTCGCTTTTTACTCCAGAGTTCATGACAATCTTGCCAAGTCGGAAGCTGTGGCGCTGGCATCCTGACATATCGTAAAAGTGCAATGCATTTTATAAATAAGATTTGAACAAAAAAAAAAAACAAAAAAAAACATACGATTCCGGTACGCACGAAAAGTCGACGCAAGAAAAATGCAGAAAGATAACATACTGTTCGGGCTGAACGTTTTTCAACCAAGCACTTTTAAGCGCATCAGCTGCCGTTATCCGCTTCTCGGGATCCAATTCTAACATTTTATCCAGGAGATCCAAAGCTGCTCCTGGCATAAATGCGAAATCCTCCCTTAGACGTCTTCTATGCTGTTTTTTTGGCTTAAGTGTATGCCAATGTGGTAATTTTATCACAGAAGGCCAAACAGCAGGAGTGGGCGTCCCACAAACCCTCGAAATCATCTCTAATTGCATCATGTCTATATTGGCCTGATAAAAAAAGCATCTTTGTCATTAATAACAAATATTAGTCTTTTTTTCAACTTAAAAACAGCTACTACCTGAAATAAAGGTTTTTTGGAAAATAATTCTCCCAAAATACATCCGCAACTCCAGACATCGATCGCAGGCCCATAACGCTCCTCTCCTAACAGAAGTTCAGGGGGTCTGTACCACAGAGTGATTACCTTATTGGTATATGGTCTCTGTCTATCCTCCGCATTATAAAGTCGTGCTAATCCGAAATCGGCCAATTTGACTTCACCCCTAATTAAAATTGCACATTATATGATACTGAATAATTGCAAGAAACAAATTATTCAATAATTATGTACACATATGTACTTGTTATTCATCAAGATATTTGAGCATTTGATATCGCGATGAAGAAAATTTTTGCTGTGACAATAATTTAAGCCATCCAATAATTGCTTCATGATACTGGCGTTATTCATTTCGTTGAAATCCACCATGCCAGATTCCAGCAGACCCATCAAATCATGATCCATGTATTCAAAAACTAGATAAAAGGAACCTTTATCCTAAAACATAAAAGATGACAATTATAATACATTCTGTAAAGATTGTAAACTAGTAAAGTTATTATTCCATAAAGTTACTCCAGTAGTGATATATTTGTTGATATCTTAAATCTCACTGCGCGAGAAACATCGCCGCAAGAGATAATTAAATGAAAGCATATTGATTCTACACATATATGTAATGTAATTTAATAATAGAAAGTTTGCTCTCTTTCTTTTTGTATGTAACCATTTTTTTATAACACAATATCTCAACACATCAACATGCAACTATGTCAAACTACATAATTCTCTACATAATTCTTGTTAATAAAAAAAAATAAAAATATAAAAAAAAACACTGACAAATATAATGTAATACAGAATGCCGCTGTTAGATTACATATAGTTTTAATTAAAAAGGTACCTTCCGGAAATCCAGTGCGTCTTGCTTGTCAGTGACAATTTCTCTAAGATTAACGATATTTTTATGATTGAGTTGTCGCAGGATCTTTATTTCTCTGACTGCTGTGATAGGAAAGCCTTCTTTTTCGTTTTCAAGTCGAACTTTTTTCAAAGCTACCATTACACCGGATCGTTTATCTCGTGCCTTATACACTTGTCCATATGTGCCCTCTCCGATCTGCGCAATAAACTCGAATACGTCAACGCATCGTTCACCCCAATCCTTGCCGCCGGAAGCCGACATAGGAGCATGGCAGTTTCGCGATCCTCTGCGTTTCAGTATTTTCGGTCTTTTCAATTTTGGCTTTGGTGCCACTCGTTCGACCTTCAAACGCGGCGGTGTTGCATTTGGATCATCCTCGCCGCTCAAGTCTTCCGATCCAGGTACGACTACAGTTGAAGTAGCAAAATTAATGTCGTCATTAAGCAATAACGATATTATGAATATAAAGCTCTGACCCGAAAATAAAACTCACCCGGCGGCATTGGCAGATCCTTGATACCCTTTTTTTGCAGTGGCTTTGTCGACGCTGGGAACTTTAACTGTGTCTTGCTGAGAGGACTCGGGGAACGGCTCGGTGGGGAATCTATGCTTTCCAAATCATTCTGATTAATGCCAGGTGGCATCGGTAATCTCTTTAAGCTTTTGGTCGTGAACGTTACTATGGGAGGCTTGGGAGGGTCCACAGATTTAAGTGGTACAAGATTATTGGGTGGATTAAACTTGGACATGATTGTGTTGGGCGCTGGAACGGGAATAGGTGGAATGGGTGGCGGTGGGACAGACATGTTGGGTAGAATCGGTGTCGGCGGGATTGGCGGCACCGACATGGGCATAGGAACGGGCACTTGTGACGTCAAGACTGTAGATGCAGATTCAGTAGATTGCGGCAGTGGTGGCGGCGGCGGTGGCGGCGGCGGTGGTTGCTGCACTCCAGGGGCGGGAGCCGGGAAATTCGGGCTGTGTGACACGACGATCGGACAGCTGCTGTTGGACATCATCGAGGGTGGGTTGGGCGAGGTATGCACACCTGCGTGAGACGCAAGCGGATTCGTCGCAGCAGATATTGGATTAATAGGTAACGGTACACCAGTTGGTGGCAATGGTGGCGTTTTGCACGTTATAACACCGTCGTCACTCGTTGGAACAGGAATATCGGTAACGTCGACTACGCTATCGCCAGCCTTTGCAAGTTGCTCCTTGTGATTTATATGCGATCTGTCCTTATTGTCAGTGGAAGCTTTATTCTCGGAGGACGCGTTACCGCCATCACCGTCCTTCTCATCGGTACTCTCTATGATTTGCACCTCATCTTGGTTCCCGACTTTTTCCTTTGCGGCCTGCAACTTCTTGAACGCCAACTCCCTCATATTACGATCCTTGACAAGTTCCGCAAACAGACTAGTCTCGCTGATTTTCGCTTGTACTCGAAGATTTCGAGCGGTAATGCTTGACGGGCTTCTAGCCCGGGATCTGTGAGGAGAAGGAGAAGGTATTCTGGGTCGCGGGCTCTTTGATTTGAGTTTCCTCGAGGTCTTGCGGGATTTGCTAGGCGAGCGCGATCTCTTTGGGGTTCGACTTCTTCTGGGACGCGAACGTGATCTCGAACGGGATAGCTTTCGCCAGTTTCTTCCTGGACTGCGTGATCGCGATCGTGACAAAGGTAAATGTAATCTAAAATCGAAGAAATCAATTAAACTATTACATCTCGCGTTTCGATGTGAATAGAAAAAAATAATTTTTGTTTACCTGCTTCCAGTGGGACTCCTAGTTGATCTCGATTTCCGCTTGTCCCTTCTGTCCTTGTCATGAAGCCGGTGGCTACGTCGATCGGACTCGTCTCGTCTTCTACGTTTAGGAGAAATAATTCCGCTATCCGTTCGTCGCCTGTGACTACTACTACTGGGACTCGGGCTAAACTCTCGTCGTCTGACGGTGGCCGGGCTCGGGCTGTGCCTAAGTCTATGGAGCACCGGAGTAGGACTAAAGTCTCTTCTTCGCGACGGTGGACTGTGATCCCTTCGTCTTGACGGCGGACTCGGGCTGTGTGGCCTCCTGCGGTTTATACCAACGGGTCCAGGACTAACGCTGGTACGGCGCATCACGTGGACACTGGGACTACGTTTCTGCCGATCAGGACTGCTGTGCTTTGGCACAGCGACAGGTCCGGCGGCTTTATTCAAAGTCTCCGGCGTCGTGGCGCATGGAGGCATTAGAGGTGTGTGCGGCGATTCTATCTGCCGCGTTGATGAAAGAGATGGTGGTGTCACGTTACGAGATGTCTGCCTCGACATCTCCAGTTCCACGTCGTCACTAGGACATCTCTGTTCGCGCGGCGTAGCGGGTGAGATGGGCGACATGTTGTCCTTCAATGGTAATGGTGGTGATTCTGACCAATTAGCGGAGACGACAATCGACGGTTGTTTCTCACGATTTGGGCTCTGAACGATTTCCTCCCCCCCAACAGTATGATGCGGACTTATGCTGTGAGAATGCCTCTTGGATTTTCTCTTCTTCTTTTTCCCCGAATTCGACGACGGACTCAAACTTCTTTTCTTCTTCTTCTCACGTTTATGCTTCTTTTCCTTTCGTCGAGCATATCGTCTCGATTCTTCTTCGTACTCCGGCGACGTGCCGTGCATCGTCGTAGGTTGTTGTTGCTCGTTCGACAAAGAGTACTGTCTACTGGAGTGTCGATGCTGAACCGACGGTGACGGAGACAAGCTGATGGGCGATGCTCCGAGAGCGCGAACTGGGCTACCGCCATAATATCGTCTTTGAAGAAACGATTCAGGTACTTCCCCGTCTGTGTAACTGTTGGCGCGACTGTCTTCCGATTGTATCTCTCCTGCTTCAGGCTCGGAGAGATCTTCACTACTCACGTCGGAATACTCGACCAGTGGTTTCACAACGGACGAAGCTACAGTTGGAATTGTCTCTAGTGATTTGTCACGCGAACGTTTCTTCTTCTTTTTTCCAGAATTCTTGCTTTTGCCATGTCTTCTGTGTCGCTTGTCGGTACCATCAAAGCTGTGTCGATTCACGTCACTGCTCGCACTACCTCTTCTTCGTGAACGGAATCTTCCATTACGTTCAGCTCGTTCGATATCACGAGTGCTAGGCATGTCACCTACTAAATAAAGCAAATATTAATAAAGTGATATATATATATATATATATACACATATATGTATGTATTAATTATAAAAGTGTCTTTTTATTATATTGACCTAATAATAAAAACAAATTTTCATAAGCAAATAAAACTGAACAGTAAAAATAGTTGTGCATATTTATACATGGCATTTCTGAAGCACACGCACTTAATAAACATTATTAATAAAATTATTAACTTTGTGCAATTTTTTGATTAAATACTCAGATAATATATACTGTCTCTTATACACATCTCTGAGCGGGCTGGCAAGGCAGA